ATTTTTTTATTATTATTATTAAAAATATGTACTAATCTTTATTTATCAGTGTGGTACCGGCATAGAATGGGCCACCCCTTTTTTTCCCGTGGATGTCGCAAGACCACTACTAAGGGAACTCATGGTAAAGAGGTGGGCAGCAGCGTCTCTCTTAAAACGTCACCAAAATCCTAACTGCGGGTGCCAACCCACATGCCAAGGATGGCAACTATTGGCAACCAGTGGAGAAGGCTGGCTGATATGATATGATGATGATTTAACAGTAAGCGTGTATTCATTTTTAAACATTCACAGATATAGAAAGTGCATATTTACTTTATTGCATAATATCGCTCCGAGAAATAAGGATCTCATAAAATGCAACAACTTAACGAAGAACTTTACAATTTCATAATTAACTACTCCTTTGTTAATTTGAAAATTTTCAGACACCTGTCTTACAATAAATTTAAATCAAGCAGCAGTAAGATGTGCAATAAAAAGGCACATGGTGAGCATTTTATTGCAAGAAACGGAAATTAAATTAGATACTACCAAAGTAAGGTGAGGGAGGAAATTTAATGGCTAATATTTTCCAATTTAACATCACGCTTAGTGAAATTAAAGTTAGCAAACAATGTTTTACAATTAAAATTGAGTTTTTATTTAGTAAACGCACAGTGCAATACTCTACTATCTCAAAACGAACTCTAACAATTCTATGTTACCTATTTGTGTAAACATGTTATTAAAACAAAGAAATGCGGTTTCCATACATAAAACAGAATACTTCTTCCTGACTTAAGTGTGAACTGTTGGAAAGAATAATATTTATTTTAAATTTTACTAGTACATGTAGAACCAAAAAATATTCGTATACCTTATAAAAACATTGCCTATCGAAAAATACTCATGCAAGGTGAAATTTAAATTGGTAAAAAATCTATCAATTTAACTGAACTATTAATAACCAATAGATCAAAAAACGACAAAAAAAAATATTAAATTCTCATACAAACTTAATGCGCCATATTAGTATTATTAACTTTACCACCATATTAGTAACCTTTCGACTAATGTGTCTTTGGAAATATTTTCAGAATCCCTATTAATGTAGTGACTGTTACTGTTATTTTAAACAAAATATATGATTTTATTTTAACCCTGATTACTCGTATGTACAATTACTTTAGACTTTCAACAAACTGACGGTACATATATGAGCAATGCAATATCATGAATACAAATTACAATAATGATATAAACAACTGAAAATCGTAAAGGACTTAAAATGTATGTCTCCCTCAAACCTTTGACAATTTGACGCAAGATTGATTCAATTGAGTTCCCGCCATTTCCATTCTCTGTGCATCCGGATAATACTTCAAGTGGTTCTGCTCAGAAACCCTACCAATATAAAATGACCTGATCCCTTTCAATATTCTATGCATTAATACCTTTAAAGAGAGTGAAATTGTTAAATAATTGGAGGTCTTTGTATTTGGTCGCTTATATGTCTCCTGGCGTTTGAGGAGCCGAAAATCGTCCGATTCGGACCCCTTGCCAGGGCGTGAAATTGAATCTTGTTGCGGGCGGAGGGTGTGCAGAAAACTTAAATATTTTAAGGGGAATTACCATCCAGAGAGGCAACCCGGCGATTCAGAGGTAAGGTATTAATTTTACGATCCCCATTGTAACTGTAGATGGGGATGTATGAAGTCGTTAAGTTTTAGCAGTCGTTTGTAGACAGGATTTAGCTTTGGGGTCGAGACGGGTTCAAAGTTGTGACTTTTGGTGGGCGCAATTTAAATTAATTAACATTAGCAAGATTTTGGGGGTGTTATGTAAGTCCCTTGTGTGTGACACGAGTTGACGAGATTGCGAGAAAGTCGTAAAAACTTTAAATCAAAACTGTAGGAGTAACGCATTGATACAAGTAGGTACAAATAATCTTAGATACACTATCAGAGGCATGGAAAATAAACGATACTGAAAAAATATAAAAACTAGTCATGACATGATTGATTTTGTTTAATTAATATTATAACTTTAATTATATTAACATTTTTTATGATACAATATAATACATAAAAAGATCATGCGATTCTGCAACTATACGAGTAAACGATTATCGCTGCCCATAAACAACTGTAACATCAGAGAAATTGAAAGTCTTGCCGGCCCTTTAAGAAAGAATATACTCTTGAAGGTTTCAATGAAGTATCTATGTATTTAGAAGTAGCAGTATTTCTGAAGGTTGAAGTTGGTTGTTATACTCGTACTTTGATTCTGCATGGAAGACAATATCTACAATATTTGACGGTGGAGGACCGCCACTTATCTAGACGATCGCGATCTATGATCGATGATCGGAACTTTTTTTATATTGTATTCGACTCCACTTATGATAACTGTAATTTTAATATTTTAATTCGGGACGGTTTTAAGGGGAAAGTTATCCTTAAAACTATATAACAACGAAAACATTTTTTGTATATGTATAATACTCACTTTCGTTTTTACTAGATTGTACCTGTTTCGTCAACTACGATTGAAACCCAAAGCATTACTTGTTTTATCTTGAAAAATAAATTTGCTAATAAAAACTATAGAAGCTAATTACATGTATATTATACAATTGACTAGCCGCAGTTTCACATGGGTGCTATTGTACTTACAAATATTATGTAAAAAATATCTAAATGACAATGAAGCTCATATAAAAATATGTTGCGTGATTTAGAAGTAAGCAGAGGAACAGATACACGCGGACACCGTTTTTATTTTATACTGTTTAGAAATTATAATCGTCTTTTATTTATTCTTATTGTTTCAATTTTTGCAAGCTAAGTCTTCTAAAACAATTGTCTATTCTCTGCAGTACCGCCGCCCCCTGAAAGTATTTCAAGGTAATCTCTTAAGATTACATCACAAAAAACTCAAACTCTTTAAGCCCCCATATTTTCTTTATGCGAAAAATATGTTTTTGCTGCGGGAGTCTTGTATAATAAACAGAAAACTTATTAACTTTCCTTGAAAAATACAGGCGATCGTGTACTTTTTTCAAACCAATACAAATTATGTCTTCCTTAATTTAAAATATAGCCGAGGGAGGAATAAATTTAAATTATAACTTTAAAAAAGTTACTATTTATTACAATACAAGGGTAATAAATAGACCACATTGTATTCAAAAATGGCAACAGCAGTATTAATACAAAGGTTCAAATCCGGCTTGAAGGACCAATTTGTTTAGACCTGTACTAATAAACAATGAAAATTGAAAATTTCATGACAAAACATTTTTTCATTAGAATTAGAATTTACAATAAAAGACAACATTACAAAGCCTACGGTGCCGTAAGTGGCGAAGAAAAACTATCTATGCTGAAATAGTTCAACGATTGTCAATGTTGCAATTTGATGAACGACAGTTACCATTTTTCACCAGATGCCGTCAGTTTGTCGAGACATGTGCAAAACTTTAAATTATTTGAATTCAACAAACAGCAGAAATATAAAATGTCCATTTCGGATTCTCATAATGTTTATAAACTGTAAGATTTCTATCAGAAACTCGTTAATTTGATAAAACATCGATACCTTTGTTTCGAACTCGTAGAACAATGCCGCAACTCGACTAGAGGGGAGACTATCACTCTAGGGGTCTCGAGTTTGTTCCCTGGGGAAGTCAATTTCATTAATACTGCGGTTGGTACTACCTTAGACGGGTGGTTCGTACATTTTTAAACGTATTATCCGTAATTGAATACCTGCTGTTTTTACCCAATAAATTGCGCTAGTTGAATTATATCGATATTAAATAATGTTTTAATCTAATTTTAAGTACGTTATACTGAATGTAACCCACATATATATATATATATATATATATGGTTCATGATATAAATTTACTGAAACCTGTCCAACCTTATAAGCATTATTGTGACGAACAATAAACTCCTTTATCCTTTATATTCTATTATAATAATTATTTTATATAGTATAATAACTATTTTACGATCATGAAATTTCCCTGTTGAGGTTTATCCAAGAGATTACAGCATGAGGTTCTTTAAAAAAAAGGGATAAAGAGGTATCTTCAGGGTCGGCAATGCGCTCGTAATACCCCTGACATTACAGGCTTTCATAAGCTATGGTAACCGCTTACCATCAGGTGGAAAATAAGCATATAGCATTTTTATTTTCCACCCCAGTGGTATATAAAAAATTAAATTTGGGCTGGCTTCTCTAAAATAAATTCTTGTTTATAGATTATGTATAGTGAATTATTTTCTTAATATACAATAATATAATATAAAAATTTGTGTAATCGATTATATTATGGTACATCTAAATCAAAATTCCAATATAGATTTTATAAAGAATTTACTTTGTTAATTTTTTTTAATCCATCATATTTTGTAGGTACTATAATTCATCTTTTTTTTGGCAATGGGCCTGCATGAACAAAATTATTTTTATTTAATTTTTTGTGCTAACTGCTTGACTGTACTTTATTCCATTGTCTTTCACAGTTTATTTTCATTGTAAAATAACCGAATTTACTTTTATTAATTTAATCAAATATTTATTTTTATTAAGAGTACTCGATTTGTTTTATTGTCATCCGAGGACCTTATTCTTGTACTTTCATAACACCGCCATTTACCAAGATCTTATTATAGTCGTACGCTGACGAAAGATATTTTATTCGCGAATAACACTGCCTTTTAGTCCGACAAAAGACGGTCTAGGTCATCTTTGCTACTTTTATACAATTGTAATATATAAGTAAAAAAAAAACATAAAATATTAATAAAGAATTAATACTCTTATAATACAATTAAACTGGTAACATATTTTATTTTTTTTCCATTACCGCACAGAAACCATTGTGATATTAAAAATAAAATAATTAGAATTACGATATAGTGCTATATGTATATACTCGTATCATGTTTTGTAGATTAGCAGCTAAATCCATTATCTATGTAGATTAAGTAAAAATTTCAATGATATTTTTATATTTAATTTGATAGTGTATAGAAACGGACGTCATGTTATCCAATATTTTGTTCACGTTTTTCTTGTGCTCCCTTGTGCTCGTGGCAGTTGTAGCAAATCATATACAAGCTGTGAATGGAAGAATTAAAATAACAACACTAACTACAGCAGGATGCCCCGATACGGTGCGTTTTATTAATGAACAACTGGCTCCTGCTTATGAAGCATATGGTGAATTATTAGATATCGAGTTCGTACCATGGGGAAGAACAGTGAGGTATGACAATGGTACTTTCTATTGTCAGTTTTCACAAGTTAACTGCTGGGCCAACCGTCTCCAAAGATGCGTATTAAATTTGCTGAAAGACAATCAAGACGCTCAAATGAGATACATGACATGTGAGTTTGGTACAGTACAACCTGCTTTTCATAACAACAGCTATCTTTGTGCTGTAAACGAAGGTCTCAGTTTAGTAGACGTCGATTATTGTCTTAATAATCGTGAGCTTGACAATTTGGATGATATTGCAGAGGAAGCATCACAGGAGCCCATGGAAGTTATTAACTTTGTTCCTGCCATAGTTATAAACGATATTGTCGACTATGATATCCATAGTGAGACTTTAAAACGTTTAGAGAGTATGGTGTGCTTCGCATTGGCCGATATTAATAATACTGATGTATCTTTCTGCCATGTTGATGTTAATTTTAATAGAAATTAATGAATTTTATATTTTATATATTAATATTTTTGTGTATCCAAAGGATATTATGATTAAATTACCTCGTTAACCATTTATGATATATTAAATAAATTTATTAATTAATAAATATAATTAAAAGTTAAAGTGGATAAAATAAATAAATGAATTAATAAGTATTTTTATACTGTGTACATATCAAGTCTTAATAATTATATAACAGTCCTGTAATACAAATCAGCGGTCGTTTCCGTTAATCTCCAAAACCGCTGAACCGTTTTATAAAACTTTACAAACGTGTAATTTTTACCTCGAGTATCAGGACACTTTCAGTCCCAAAAAAATCCAGTAGGTATTACCTACTATATAAATAATCTACAGGCAGTGATATTGACACATATATAATTAAGAATTAAATTTAGTCATAATGTTGTAAAATAGGTATCAAAGTATCAAAGTTCAGTATACAAATAAATACCGATAAATTAATGATAAACATAATGATAATCTATTATCATATAAATGTTTACCTTACACGATTACGTTAACAGATTATTGATGTCCACTTATGGGCACGTGTCTCTTCTCAAAAGTGAAGAATACAGCCCAGATATCAACTATTGATCTGGCAACTTGGTATAGAGTTTAATTTCAAGTTCTTTTCTTGCATTTATATTGTGCTCTTAATTTAGTCATAAAAACCTTGATATAATGTTTTATTTTTATTCCGTTACCATAATAATAAAAATATTACAAATATTAAGAATAAAGTTTTTTTTTTTTATACAACTTAGAATGGCAAACAAGCTGACGGCCCATCTGATGGAAAGTGATAACTGTCGCCTGTAGACATAAACATAACAGTACCATAAACATAACAGAGTATACTGTTTCGCTCATGATACCCCCCATGCGTTGCCATTCCTGAGGACTCAGGTATTATTCCTCTGTACCCAGTAAATTCACGCCATATCCCACCCTTCAAATCGAAACACAGCCATGCAAACACAACTGCTTCACGATTGAAACACAAATGAGACAGAGGTACCCAAGCAATCGACTTTTGTACAAGGTCTCCCTCTGGTAACTGTAAGTAACTGGAATACTGTTTTATATCTTATCTTATAGAATAACAACTAAATCTAACTTATGTCAATTACATTAAATTTTAAATGATGTTCTATTAGCTATTATATATCAGTAAATGTAAGACAACGAAATAAGTGATAACCTTTTTAGTTTCCTAAATTGATCGGACTAAGTATCAAACCTGCGATCTCATTTACACAGAGCAACAAGGCTACTACTGCACCACTACGGTCACCAAAAAATATCTTAAGATTTCTGATAGCATTATGAGAAGTGCTTTTGTCCCAAAATATAATGTCAAGTTAATAAATATTAAATTATTTAAGGAGTTTCGCTCTTGCTGGCGATTGAAGAAGTTTTTATCTCTCATTTTAATACTTTTCTGTTAAATATTCAACTTGGCTGGCTTGTTATCGAGAAACTTGGGCAATTGGACAGTCGTTCCACCACAGATATGCGTAATAGCGTAAATTATCTAGATAAGAAACACAATGATAACACTTGGCGCAAACATTTCTACAACAAATCTTTAAAATAACAATTTCATATTAAATTTTACGACAATAAGTAAAACAATGAAAGCTTCTATCTAGTATTTTATTGACCATTAAAATAATGCTCCGATTTTTTCAATTTTTTAAATGCTATTTTTTTTTATTTTCTGACTAGTTTTTATTTTATTTTTTTACAACCACATCAATGGCCTGTTTCTTAAGGTGGGATACCCTGTGCTATGAGGAACCAGAGGACCTACCATGAAATGTTTTCCGAAAATTCCAAATGGCTGGACGAAACACAAATTTAATGTTAAAAGTACATGATTCACACACTTCAAAATTATTAAAAATATTTAAATATCGCTGCTTTAGTCTTTTATGCTTGAATGAATAGCAATCGAAGTAGTACGCTCCATTTAGTTATTTGATTTTGATGTGAACAAAAACACAAAATTAAGTCCGAAAATTCGGAATTTCATTTTATGGGAAACCCTCAGGTAACAAATATCTGGGGACACAACCCAGAACATCCAGACTCAAGCCAATTCAGAAATGTTCGTTTCGTAAATTGAATCAACCGATTACATTGGGATTAGTACCCAGGACTTCTTTAATGTAAAGCAAAGATCCCACTACTGCGCTACAGAGGTCGTCACATTTTGTTGATACTAAAGATTATTAGCACTTATTAAGGTTTAAATCCATCTTTATAAGTAAGAACACATTCGTCCTACTTCCACAAGATATATAATCCCTTAATATGATAAAACTGGTTGGATTATAAAATGTAATTAAATAATTTTACACAGACTGCTGTGTGGTCCTGGCATAAAATGGGCCGCCACTTCCTTTCTCGTAGATATTGTAAAAGGCGACTAAGGGAACTTAATGGTCAAGAGATAGGCAGCAGCATTCCTTTTAAAATAAAACCAAAGCCAAATTACCTTTGCCAACCCACCTGCCAAGCATAGCATCGACTGGCAAAATTTCCTCAATGATAAACTGCCATAAGGAACAGCCCCGTTCCTTGTGGCTGTCTATGGGCGAAGCTTATGTTCAGTAGCAAACAGAAAATAACTAATACGATGGATGACAATGATATCTAGACCTCCGTCTAACTTAACGCCTTATTGATAAATTAAGGCAAGAAACAGTAATACAGTAGAACTTAGTTCTACTAAAACAGGTCTCCGGGAGAAAAGGGATTTTAATAATGGAATGTAACAGCTTCATTGTTAGCAATATACCCTATCAAGTCAACCTCCACGCGGTGCCTCCTGGAAATTATCGTCGTTAATTCCTGCAGAATTCGTCACGATGGGCTGACTGACCTATTTTCATCCTCATCTCTCACTGGTGCCTCACCAATGTATACCAATAAAGCAGACGGGGTTACTTATCATTGCATTCTCGCCCATTAAAAATTTTACCAAATTTTCCTTCAAAAAAGTCCCTTCGTGAACATTACTTCAATTTATCACAACAATGAAAAGCCTTAATCTGTTATATAATTAGTTATTATTTATATATTTATTAATTTAATATATACTATGTATGGTTATTTATATATGTATTGTATGTCATTTGTGTGTATATTTTTTGTAAGTATATTATTCTATATGTTTGTATGTTTATTTATCATAAATTTAGTTATCTCTTAAAATATTTATTTAATTTACTATTTTCTTAAATCTGTACACCGCCATTTTCTCTCTCTCTGTTTGGCGTGGTAGTTGACTGGTAGAGAATGCCATTAGGCATTAAGTCCGCCTTGTAGACATTTTTCAATGTGTGCAAAAGTATAAATAAATAAATAAAAAATATATTAACATTACAATTCTATTAAGCCCTGTAAAGGGATAATTATAATAAAAAACTAAATCGGCACCAATCACAGCGCCTTATTAAAAATCGAAAGCAAAAACAATACCTACACAGTGGTGAGTAGAATTGCCAAAACAAGTTTTTTAAACAATTTTATATTATAACTATCTAATGAAGATACCAGAGGAAGACTCTGTACAAAAGTCGATTGCTTGGGTACCTCTGTCCCATTCGTGTTTCTACCGTGAAGCAGTTGTGTTTGCATGGCTGTGTTTCGGTTTGAAGGGTGGGATATGGCGTGAATTTACTGGGTACAGAGGAATAACATCTGAGTCCTCAGGAATGGCAACGCATATATCATATATCACGGGGGTTATCATGGGCGAAACAGCTCTGTTATGTCCATGGTACTGCTTATGTCTATAGGCGACGGTTACCACTTTCCATCAGGTGGGCCGTCAGCTTGTTTGCCATTCTAAGTTGTATAAAAAAAAACACATATACATATATATACAGATATTTTAAATACACCATCAGGACTCAACGTGATAAAAAAAAATTACAAATAAATAATAACATAACTGCTTCTTTCTTGCCGACGTTTCTTTGTGGATTGCATCGCGTTAAGTGCCGATAGTGTATTTAAAATCTCTGTAAACAAAGTTAAAAATTAACTATATTTTCAGATTGACCATTCCACATTGTCGCTCCTGGAAACTGGAACTGTGAATTCGCAACAATAGACTAACTGACTTGACTGGGGGGGGGGAAAGGGATTGTTAGTAATGGAGATTGAGAATCCCATTGTTAGCAATATACCCAACCAGGTCGACCTCCTCGCGGTTCCCCCTGGAAACTATCATGGTTAATTCCTGATGAATTTATCATGATAGACTAACTGGCCTGTTTTCATTCTCATTTACCACCCTTCACTGGTGCTCCGCCAGCGTATCCCATTAGCGCAGGCGGAGTTACCGTTACCATACCATTTTCACCCATAAAAAAAAGCTGACTTGACTACGTCCTTATCGTGTCATCCTCCACCGTGCTCCGTCATTGTATATTGTTAGTATTGGTGGGTGTATTATACCATTTACATTTCATAAAATAATCTCTAGCACTTTATTAAAAGCAGAAAGCAACAGAAATTTGCAACCGTGCAGTAAAATAACCGAAAAATGTAACCAAAAATTTTTTCATTGCATTTAACTCAAGTATTTTAATCGAAGCTGATATCGAATACTTATTTACCTTAAAACTAAACAGTAAACATTATTTCTAGCGATAAGGATACCTTATTGCATTTATAATATAAATGTATCTGTAATAATGGGATTAAATATAAATATATAATATTTATTTTGATAGTAGTCATTTCGGATTTCTTTTCTAATTCTACGTCAACAAAATATTTTTTAAAGTTATTTTTAAAAATATTTGGGCAAATTACCGTAATATACCTTAATTATGGTATTTTAGTCTTTTTTTTTGTATACATTGTATGCCAGTGGCAAACACAACATACAGCCCACCTGATATATAGTAAGCATATATATATTTATTCGATATATGGGTATGTATGTATATAAATAATTAGTAGTACCGCATTCGAGCATTACTATGCTCAAGGAGAGAACCCATTGCCAAACCATATTTGAAAAAAAATAAATAAATAAATATACCTCTTTAGCCCTTTTTTGAAGAACTCCATACTGTAGTAGCTTAATAAAATCTCGATAGGATATAACCTGAGCGTTTGTAGGAAGAAATTTCTTTGAACCCGTGTTATACGTGACCATCTAGGCTAAAATAAATGGTAATTTTTACACATTATTTTAACATGTAAATTATGTTATGCACATAATGTTTATTTATGTAAATAATTATAAGCAAAACTTTATAAACACTAAACGTGAACAACCCACAGCATGCAAGTAGCACCCGTTCACTAGTATGACGGTTGAATCAACAATCCTTGTGTTCAACCGTATTTTAGGGAAATCAGAGATCCAACCATCCACGCCACCACCAACCTAGACATTAAAGTTGGCATGACTTGGTTTAGGTTTCCCGACTACGTCATTAAATAAATAATTACATTAATTTACTATATAATAATCAGGGTAATAATCCATTATAAAATTTATCTTATAATTGATGGGTATTAGATTTAATACAATCAAGTAGATTGAACTAAAATCAGTAATCCTAATGTCAATTTTGATTGAAATTATAAATTTACAAAATCTATACTCTATACTAACTAATATATAAAGCGAGAGAGTTTGTTTGTGTATTTAAATGCACTACTGTCTGCACCTACTAATTGGATTTAAAAACATATTTTCATATTTGATAGCTTATGTCTTGAAGAAGGCTATAGGCGATATATACAATCATGTGCAGAACCGCGGGGCATAGCTAGTAATAATATAATCGTTTGTATTTTTTTTTTATTGGAATTTATGTGTTGGATAATACAAATAAAGTATCTACCTATAAATTAATTCAATTTAAAAAAAGAATGGGAAATAATTTTATTTTCGGTATTAATCATCTCGCAAAGGTGGTATCTAATAAAAAATATATACATTTCTGATTGTTTTCAAGCAGCTTCTACTTAAATGACACCTTTAAAATTGTTCACCTTTATCATCATCATTTTATCATCTGTTAATTGTCCACTGCTGAATCACGAATGAACTCCATCATAAGCGGGATTTTTGCCAGTAGTTACCACGCTTGACAGGTGAGTTGCCAACCGCAGTTAGGCTTTTGGTGATGTTTTAAGAGAGACACTACTGCCCATCCTTCGACCATTAAGTTTCATTAGTTGCTTTTTACAGTACCCGTTTATATATAGTACAAAATGTCTTAATTGTTTAACATGTGGGAAGATATGCCTGTAAAAATTCAAATATTTATCGACTCAATATAACTTGTATATACCTCTAAATTATAATATTTATATTCTTGTATAACTGTGAAAATGAATTTATTTGTTACCTCTTGACTCTTTAACAGCTTAAACTATCATTATAAATATTAATAGTTGAACACTAACATACAACATATGCTGCAAAAATTATAAAACAAAGATTTATGGACACACAAACTGATATACATTAATAAGTTATAACATTGTATTTTATCCATTTTGTTAGAAAACCTAAAACCACATATCTGAGAATATAAGCTACTTTTTACCCCAGTCACGTAGATGAAATGGTAAGCAAAAACTAGTTTCATTTTATTTTCAATATTATATATCTACATATATATTTTTGTAGGTCGAAATTTCATAATTTTCAATTCAAAAATGCAAAAAATTACAGGTATTCCTTAACCCTCGTTTATTATAAAAAATACCTAATCGAGAAATTAGACTATAATAAAATGCAGTGAAAAATATATAAAAAATACGCCATTTTATTACACTTCACTCATAATTCAAATATAAAAAAATAAATTGTATTAATTATAAAATAACAGATAATAATAACAATTTTCAATATAAAATATGTTCTACAGTACCCTAAAAAAAATGTAACGTCACGCAAACTCCATATCGTGTAGACTCAATGTTTCTAGAATTTTATATGTATTAGATAATCATCATACTTATAAATTACAGCGATATATAATATCTTTAAAGATTAATCCACTAACAGACTTGATTAAACTATCTTACTTCATACACCTGTAAGCCTAACGATACGTCATTTTACTATTTACTGTTTGAGTGTGAAGACAAACGGACGTCATGATTTCAAAGATTTTATTCTCAGTTTTATTGTGTACTTTAGTACTGGGCGTAACCAGTGAAATAGAAGTGATAGATGGAAAAATTAAAATAACAACATTAACAACTGCCGGCTGTGTTCATACGGTTAACTTTATCTCCAATCAATTGGCTCCAACTTATGCACTTTATGAACAATACCTGGACGTCGAATTCTTGCCTTGGGGGAGAACAATCAAGTATGACAACGGGACATTCTATTGTCAGTTCTCACCAAACAACTGCTGGGCCAACCGTCTCCACAGATGCGTATTGAACTTCCTGAGGGATAATCAAGCTGCCCAAGTGAGGTACATGGACTGCGAATTCAGCGTACCACAGCCAGCTTTTCAAAACAGCAGCTACAGTTGCGTTCAAAACGAGGGGCTTAGTTTGATCGACGTCGATTACTGTGTGCGAAATCCTGACCTTGACGACTTGGATGCTATAGCTGAAGAAGCATCACGCCCAGCAATGGATCCTGAAACTGGAATAAATGGCCTGCCAGCTGTAGTTATTAACGGCATAATAGACATAGAGCTAAGTAGACAAGCAAGGGCAAATTTAAGGGGTTTGGTCTGCACAGCATTAGCTAACAGTGGGGTCACCAATATATCTATTTCGTCTTGTGGAAATTAATATGCTGTGATGACTCAATTTTAGCAATATTAAAAATTGAGAAACCATACACTTATGGATATGAAAATAAAAGGATTCTGAATATATTATTTTTGTTAACAGATTATTAAAATGAAGTTTAAATAATTCGATTGTTTTTTCAAGACATACACTTCAATTTAGACCAAATTTCTTGTTTGTGTGACATGGGAGTAAATTCTTTCCATTAAAAAAATAGCCATGAAAATGCTGAAAATATCGCGTGCTAAACGAAAACAGTGAGCCTAATTAAATTAATCGTCCATTTTGAAGTTGTTTAAAAAACACAATAACAAAATGTCATAACAATTATTATAAATATATTTGGGAAAATATTGGCTAGTCATATTTTTGTTATAACAATTGTGGTGTGGGTGAACTAATGTCATTATAGACAGTGAAAATATAGTTTACATATTTTTAACAAATAACAAATTTCCACATATAAAATTGGAGGAAAATACAACCATAATACATAATACTTGTAGTGTTATTTTTACCTTACCCTTGCAACTAACGAAAATAACTATCCAAGGGATTATTAGTAATGGGATATAAAAGTTCCATTGCTATCAATATACTCTAACAGGTCGACCTCCACTCAATTCCCCTTGGATAATCCCAGATAATCTTGGTTAATCTTGTTTAATTCGTCATGATGGACAAATTAATCTACTTTCGTCCTTAACTGTCAATTCTCGCTGGTGCCCTCCCAATAGTAAATAGAGCCCAACCGATAGCACAGGCAGGATTGCTGCCTGCACTATCTTCTCCTATTAAAACAAAGAACACCCCTCATAGGTCGCTATTCCTAAAAAATATATTTTGCCAAGAATTCTGACTGCTTTATCCCACTCTACATTCGAAACACAATCATATAAGCATAGCTGCTCCACACTTTTTTTTTATATATGGAGTTATTTTATTATCTATCTCGTTTAAAAGAAAAACATCAATGTATTCCATAACTAATATGACTATATAATATTTCCACTTATTTTCAGGTGACATGTAGTCAGTTTGTCAATAATTAATATATATATATATATATATATATATATATATATATATATATAAAATGAAATATATCGCCCCCAGATATTCTGTGTTACCCATAGGAGGCCGATCACTTTAATTACGAATCTATATAAGTATACATAGTCACATTTTTTTACTATTATTGTTATTATTTCAGCCGTAAATGTCCACTGCTGAACATAAGCCTTCCCAATAAGGGGAGTTTTGCCAGTAGTTGCCACGCTTGGCAGGCAGATTGGTAACCGCAGTTAGGCTTTTAGAGATATTTTAAGTGGGACGCTGCTGCTCATCCCTTGCCCTCCCTTAATCGACTCATACGACACGGGAAAGGAGGGAGTGGTCTATTATATGCTTATATTATCTATATAACTTCCCAATAGCCATAAAAATATTATGTCAATCTATTATAACTATATCCTTTTGGTATAAATAATTTATAGATATTAGTTGGAAAAGTTCTAACTTGCAATATGTGTTGTAACTTAAGAAACAAAAGAAATACATAATGGAGCTAAAAATAAAAAATGTACTAAAACGTCTGCGAACTGATAAAATCACAATTCCTAATACTACGTTTCACTTCTCAGATATGATTATTTAAATTTCAAATGGGACTGATAACGCAATATGTCGATAAAGTTAAATAGAAATATGCAAGATATTTCGTCGAAATTTTTGGGCTCTATTCAACGAATTTTATTGCTTATCGATCGATCGATGAGATTCAAAAATTGAATAATCACTCTGAACATAGATTATGAGTATATCTTGTATAGAGATTACAATATAAATGATAACACAAAACGCATTTAAACTATTTTTTCAATTCAATATCTATAACTTACAGAAAGGTGTTACTCGAATAATAATGCATTAAAAATGTTGGATTCATTACATATTTGTTCTAAGTAAATAAATAACCGCCGTGTGGTCCCGGCATAGAATGCGTCACTCCTTCCTTTCTCGAAGGTGTCGTAGGAGGTGACTAAGGGAACTTACGGTCGAGAGATAGGCAGCAGCGTCCTTCTTGAAGCATCACCAAAGCCTAACTCTGGTCGCCAACCTGCCTGCCAAGCGTGACAATTACTGGCAAAATCCCTTTTTTATAGGGGAGGCTTATGTTCAGTAGTGAGTAGTTAATAGCTAATATGATGATGATGATGATGATAAAATGGATGAAGCATCTTTGCTTCAAACTACATATCTATGTTTGTTCTCTATGTTTTTTTTATATGCAATTTAGAATGGCAAACAAGCTGACGGCTCACCTGATAGAAAGTGATAACCGTCGCTTATAGACATGAGCAGTACCATAGCCATAAAGTATACTGTTTCACCCATGATACCACCCACGCGTTGCTATTTCTCAGAATTCAGGTGTTATTCCCCTGAACCCTATAAATGCACAGGCACACAGCCATGCAAACACAACTGCTTCACGGTAGAAACACGAATGGGACAAAGGTGCCCAAGCAAACGACTTTTATACAAAATCTCCCTTTTGTAAATTATCTATCCTATAAATAATTTTGCATGAAGATAACACTTTTAAACTTTTAAGATAAACAGTAAACAATATTATTCTCATAATAATTGGTAGCTGCAATGCTAATTATGTAATAATTGTTAGTTACTATTCGGTTTATTTATCCTCTCAATTACAATGTGCTAATGATATTTCTAATAACGCAATATGTGTAACAGGAATACTAATGATACTATCCAAATAAGCACGAGCTCAAAATAATTACAATAACAACAGTAACATACAATATAACTACTAAACACTAATTATTAAATATCTGCCCATTATTTAGTCGTAGTTAAAGCACATACAGTATGCTTAGTATTTTTTTTAATGGGGGAAAATGGAATGGTAACTCCGCCCGCGCTATAGGTATACACCGACGAGGCACCAGTGAAAGATGATAGGTGAAAATGAATGCATGTTAGTTAAAGATTATTCATTAACCATTCGACAAGAATTAACCATGATAGTTTCCAAGGGAAACCGCGTGGAAATCGACCTGAGAGGGTATATTGCTAGCAATGGTGCTATTAGACTTCATTACTAACAATCTATTAACTTACTATTAACTGTACATACTATACACGCACACATAGATAAAAAAATTACCTATTTTTGGGGAAGTATTTGTATAGAGATACTATATCTATATAATCTAAAAATCTAGATAGTACCTGCGGTCTTATCTGTATAGAATTTATAAAAAAGAACATTCATATGAACTATAAATTAATTAAATTTTCAGTGTACATAGTATTGATCGGGCGGCCAGACGATCCGACACGCTGGGGACCATACTTCTTCAATTATTCAGCTATCTACTTCCGTGAAGCCTGATAGTTACATCTCCGCTTCGCTATATACTTTGATGTCCAATATGACGGGTTTTGTTGTTTTCTTTAGGTTTTTTTCCTAATTTATTTATATTTAGAGTTAATATAGTTATTTTAGTAATAAAAAGATTCGAATAAATGAGATATCAATACATATAATAAAATTTTATTTATTTTATTTATTTATTTATTCTTTATTGCCCACATTACATAAAAATGTCTGGTACAAAAGGCGGACTTAATACTATATAGCATTTTCTCCCAGTCAACCTTTGGCTAAACAGAAATTTTATTATGAGGTGAAAAAAAATACAACACATGCAATAGAGAATTACTGCACATTATGATTATATAAATATACATACATGAATACATTAAACAAATATTACATAAATATACAAATATGTAATAAAAATACATACATATAAATATAAATATACATATATAAATATACCTACATACTTATAGATTATATACGATAACACAAATAAACAACGATAGAGAACGAAAATTTCTATCAATACATATATATATGAAACATATGAAAAGTATCACTTTTTTTATAATTCCTCAATTCAAAAATTCACCGTCTACTTATTTCTCGATTTGCCCAATGGTTTACTGGTAAAAAACACCGTCCGGTGTTAAGTCCGCCGTATGTACTATGTAGTTTCACTATGCATTAAAGTTTAAATAAATAAAATAAATATAATAAAAAATGGTATAAAAACACTCTTACTTATCAAAACCTCTGTCTCTATAACATTTTGCTGCAAATTAATTGCTTTTACCCTGGTACCATTGCAAAGTTTTGGGGACTTGGATTTCTAAACAGCATTATAGGTACTCCGACTTTTAAATTTATGAGCCAGCTATAAACTTGTGAGCTAGCAATCCAGGGGCATTAAGGATTTTGTGGCAATGTGATCACCCATTGTAGTTGGAACCATGACCGCTATTTGCTTAACTTGTATTAGCGCTACGAACTCTAAAATCAATAATTCTATATCGTTATATTATATACTTAAATGATAATTACATATCCAATACCTTGATAAAGTTTCAGCCAATTCAACTGCTCAGTTATTTTATAATATTTTATATGTGATTATTTTGATTGATATAACTTTTTTTTTTATGAACCGTTTGTAATAAAACAAATATTAAATGTTAAGTGAAGCAAACCGCAATGTATTGAAAACCGCATTCAATTGAGTTAACTGTTTCTGAGGTTAGCGTTCACAAAGGTACAGATAAATAGACAAAAATTCTAAACATCTTTGTTTTGGGTTCTATTGCGTTCATAAAGTATATAATATATTATATTATTAGTTCATAAAGTATATACTGTGATATATTTTCTTATATACTTACGTGGAACGTACAAACAGCGACCAATTACCATTTTATTATAGGTATGTATTGATGATATACAAAAGTATATAAATAAAATTATTTAAAAATAAAAAACTTAAGTGTACAGTTAATATTCTCAGAGCATTCTTAACTAACCGCTGTACAGAGATTTTTAAAGTTAAAACGAAGAACTCGGACTGGAATCCAAGTTACTAACTTTAAGATTCTTCTTGTAGTTTCAGACGAAGTTTATTCATATTTGTATTTGGGAGATTGAATCTCTTAATCCATTAATTTAAAACATTTACAGTTGAGAATTTAAAGCTAGTAGCAATAAATATATGCACCAATTACAGTGTAAAATACAACCAGTAGTCTAATAGTGACACGTTCAAAACGATAATGTATTACAAGATCATTTGAGACTTAATATTCTCTCTAAACATGTTTATTAAATGTCAGGTAGGAAAAAGTCTCTTCGACAATGCAAAAAGTTTCTTAAAAAAGATGGGTGTTTGTTACTCTTTTATACAAAAACTTTAAAATTTCTGCCCCATTCGTGTTTCTACCGTGAAGCAGTTGTATTTGCATGGTTGTGTTTCGGTTTGAAGGGTGGGATATGGCAGTGAATTTACAGGGTACAGAGAAATAAAACCTAAGTTCTCAGGAATGGCAACGCATGAGAGGTATCATGGGCGAAACAGAATACTCCGTTATGTCCATG